TATGTCCATCTTGATTTTTCCAAGTAATAAATGTTGTTCATGTTTATGTGGGCTTGTATTCAGTCAAAAAATTAATACTTTTTAAAAACATTTGCTGACATTTCTATCAGAGTTTGTTCCTTCAGTTACACTTAGTCATTGCCACTGCTAGGGAATCAGATCCTGCGATGACGTTGACATGGACAGACTATGTGCATAGCTCAGTAAAGTAATTATTCTATACATGCTACAATAACGTCTAGTAGTTTGGAATCCATCCTGGGTAGTTTGTTCTCTCTTTCCATTTCCACATTTATCGCCTTGTATACCCCCTCCTTCATTTTTTGTTGTTTATGTTAATCTCCCTAAACCCCTCTAAACTTTGCTTAGTGAATAACCTGTTTGTGTTGTAGATTTTTTGTTTGTTTTTGTAAAGTGTTTTACGGCGCTCGCAACTGCATAAGGTCATATGACATGAGCGTGCGGGGCACACCTAATATTTTCAGTTGGTAGGAAATTTTGAATTTTGCCCGTGTGGAGGCCGAAGCCTACTCTTATTGATTTTAGACCACCAAGGGATCTTTAACGTGCGCAACTTGCACACGGGCCCTCCGAGATTTTTCGCCCTTGTCCGAGAAGGCTAGGTGTAGATCTTTCCTACCAGAAGATCACGGGTGTGGCAGAAAGGCAGCAGTAGGGAGGAGCCAAGAAGTAGCAGTAGAAAGGCTGCAGAAAGAGTCAGGAGCCCAGAGGAGGGGGCAGAAAGTGGAAATGAGAGCAGACAACATAACATTGCCAGAGAGCAGGAAAAAAGGTGAAAGGAGACAATTTTAGAGAAGAAAATTTTTCGGTCGCTACCCGGATTCGAACCCGGGACCTCTTGAATGAGAGGCCAACACCTCAACCTCTAGGCCACGAGAGCCCCCGTGTTGTAGATGATGCAAAATCTCTTACTAAAACTACTAAAACAAACCACTATAAACTAAAAATAAACATTTCCAGATAAGATCAGTTTCTTTCATTAAATCGATACCCTGAACACAGTTTAAACCGTGTTTAGAAATACAAAGTTTCGACTAGGATTATTTTCGAATAAAACTGATCAGATCAAAGTGATAGATCCTTTATCGATATCGTTATGACTCAAAGGGATTGTGGGAATAACGGGTGTTGTTCACGTTAGCCTAGGTTTGGTGGAACATTAAGGTTGGGTTTGTTTTGAGTGGGGGGGGGGGGTGTTTTGCTTTGTTGATTTTTTAAGGGTGTGGGTGGGGGGTTGGGGTGGTGGTGCTGCAAGTTTGACTTAAAGCTTTTTTAAAAAAAACCTTGCCCATTTATATGACATTGACTCTATCTGATTAGTCGAAAAAAGTGCGTATGATAATGTCCAATAGTGTATTACTTACATACTTAGTGTGTCAAATAAGTGATACAGCAGATAGAAATTCCAAGATTGTAAATGTAAGACATTGATCTGAGAGCGGCGATTATTTTAGAAATAATTGTGGTGCTGAGTGATGAAGAGGGATTGCGTTTAAGTAATGTTAGTGTTTGTCCTGCTCCAATGAGTGACAAAGGATGTGGGCACCCACTATCCCGTTCCCTATTGGAACCATCTTTACGGTCACCGTGAAGTTCCGAAATGGTGGGTACAATCCCTGCTGAGGTGACATTGTTGGCGTTAGCCCTTTCTATCGGACCAAGACAAGTATGGAGACTAGTTAAGCGGAAAGACAGTATAGTCGCAGGTATGTTGGGGTATTTGTAAGCGCGTTGTAGGTAGCAAGTTGGTAAACAGTTTATGATCTTTAATTCTACTCCATGATCATTTGCCCAGAGTATTCTCTTCGAGTCCTATTGAGCTTGCGGAGATTCTGACACAGGTTCCTCGAACCCGAGTCGAGAGGGCACAATTTACACATGATATTGTATCCCTTCGCCTCAGGGGGAGCGACCTCGAACTCCTAAATCAAGTACCCTGTGTCTGAATCCTCACGGTCACGTCCAATATAGGTATAATTCCAATGATAACGTTTGGAAGCAATACCTACTTTTAACAAGCCAATATTGTGCAGATGATGGCTAGATGTGCTTTGATGAATAGAAGATTAGAGTGAAAGCGGGCGAGATAGAGAGAGAGAGAGAGAGAGAGAGAGAGAGAGAGAGAGAGGGAAAGAGAGAGACGGAGAGAGAGAGAGAGAGGGAGAGAGAGAGAGAGAGAGAAAATGAAAGAGATAGTGGAACCAAGTAGCAGAGGAATAGATAAGAAGAGAGAAC